TAGTTAAATTAATAAATACTATGTTTAATTTGTGCTTTACTCAGTAATTTACACACACACACACACATATATATATTGTGTGTGCGCGGTTGTGGTCTTGTATTTTATATGGTTCTATGTGTTTGTCTGCCGCTGTTTTTTTAAAAATGTATGAAAATGTTGGGAACGAAAATAGCATAAGTTACTTTAGTTAAATTAATATATACTTTTGCTTGATGACTTTTGTTGATATCTCAGGATGCAAGCATACATATTACTTTGTATTCCATGCTAAATACCTTGATACGAAGCATTTTAACACCGTCAATATTTTTTTTTTCCCAGAAACACATCTATTCACCATTACCATACACACTCACCACACACACACACACACACACCTGTGAGACACTATTTATTGTAAATGAAGACAGATTCTTCTCCTTTTAACTACACTCATGGACACAATCGTATGTTAGGATATTTTCTTCTTTTTTTCCTTTTCTTTCTACAGGCCCCCTTTTTTTTCCTCTATTATTTTTGGGCCATTTATTTTAAATTTTATTTTGTCCCATCTTTTCTTCCTGGCCTTTTGAACTCGTACAAAATGTACGAAGTTCTTTTTATTAGTCTGTTGACAAAGTAGACAGATGTCTTGTTTTGCACCCGCTAAGTTTTTCTGCTACGATGGGCGAAAAATCAAGCATAGGTGCGAAGGAAAGGTATATAGAAAGAGGGGAAATTTCGTATTTGAGGAGAGTAAAATTCACAATCCTTGCTCTACTGTTTTAATATTTGTAAATATTCATTTACAGACTCACCTGTTTGTTGAAATCTGGATGCTAAACAGTGCCGGACAAATGTATCATTTCTTTTAGCAATGTACAATGAATCCAGAACATTAATTGCATTATCATAGGAATGTAAATCATTAATATATTGATAAACACTTTCAGATGCGAAATTGCATAACAGCTGTAGTTTTCTTTTTTCAGTTGCCTCTTTCACTTGTGTGAGAAAATTTGAAAAACTTCTTTTCCAGTGTTTCCAGGCAGGGTCAACATCAAATCTTTCTGGTTTCAATAGGTTATCCATTTTGAAAAAAAAAAAAAAAAAAAAAAGTATAAATTAATTTAAAAAAGTATAATTAATTTTGTTGATTAAATTTTTATAAATATAACAAATCACTTTCCTAGAGAAGCTCAAATGAAGCTTTAATCAACTAAAATTGCACATAAAACAATTGTGACATTGTAAGAACCAAGGAGGTTAGAATAGAAGGAGGGAAGGTTCAACTCAAACGGCGAAGCTTGGCGGCCATGTTACTGTTATCACTGTGACTTGTGCAAGGAAGTCTGTAATTGTAACATTTTTTTTTTCCTTTTCTTTTTGATGCATGTCTGCTTATATTGCATATGGATGCACAAATAGATTTTCGAAAAATATTCCTGGGATTACTGTTCACTCGTAAGTATTTTCTTTTTTTTTTATGTAATTTCATAAATATGTTAAAAAAATGTCACAATGTTATGTTGTTTTCTTTACAGATGTGACAAAAAAGACTTAATAATAATCGAAACATGTTAAATACAATACATTTTAATGCTTTTGCTTACAGCTGGTATCTTCGTTCCTTAACATATAATGATATATGCTAGGATTATATGCTTGCTGTATAATTTGAAAGCTTAGATAATTCGTTTTATAATTTTCATGAAAAGTAAGAAATCAATTGTTACTATTTTTATGAATTGTAAAGTGTTAATTTTTATGAATTGTAAAGTGTTTATGAATTGTAAGGTGTTAAAGCATCGCTTTTCCTTATGTATTAATTATTATTCATTCTTAAGTTTTGTGAACTGTTACGAATATAATTTGTGCATTTGATCAAGATAAACTGTTCTGTTGTTAAAATGTTTTTGCATAAGCTTACAAATTTCTGGGCAGTATAGCGATAAACGTAAGTAAAATATTTACACAATTGAACATGTGAAAAGATATATCCAAAAATTTATATAGGTATATTTCTGTAATTCAGTTTAATTCAAGGTAATTTCTTTGAGATTCATAAATATGAAACGCGCATAAACTGAAATCATTGAATTCACATAAATCTGTTTTATTTTATTAAGATTTATTTTCTTGTTGATATAAGGTTGTCGATTGTGAAAAGAATCTATTTAAAACTTTCATTTAAAAAAAAGCAACATGTTACCATTTTTTTAGGTAATTATCTGCTATTAATTTCAGGTAAAAATGATTCTTTATAAATTATAATAATATTGCGAATAAATAAGAAATATCACTTCTTAAAGAAACAATTGGAAAGTATACCAGAGAAGTTGCTAATAAAATCTAAACAAATTCTTGAAATTATGCAGAAACATAATTTGTAAAGGCTTTAATGTTATGCACATGCATTTAGATTTCGAAATATTTCTTAATGATTTTCTGTACTTAGTAAATTACAGATATCACCTTTATACCTTTAAAACAAAAAAACTAACAATAGAGAAGCATTTCATTATAAATTTAACATATTTTTACTGGAAAATTCATGCATAGAACAGCTTACAAACACGTACGTTTCACTACCGTATTGGAATGTTTTGAAGTAACAAACATGGACGCCGCTTGTTCCGTGGAGTTTATTCCCCGATAGTGGAGGAAACTGCGAACCCACCCTCCTTCTATTCTAACCTCCTTGGTAAGAACAAATATTTAAACTAACAATGACTGTTGCCATTCAATGTAGTATAATTTTAGTGCTGCCAACAATATTAAATATTATGCCACAATACAGTAATCCAGAAAAATATTATCATAGTTGTAAAATGTTAATTTCTTAATATGGCTTATCAAATATCTCTTTCAACATCATTAGATCGTATTGGGCTTTGAACGCAGTAAAATGTTATAGTGGAACATTCTTCAGAGTTTGTTTACATGGTGTGATCAAGTGATTTTTCCAATAAATTTATTTCGAAATAATAAGCAAAATGATAAATAGCAAATTACAGTAATCCAAATTGCATTCTTTTGCTGCCCCCTGTCAACTCTTAGCGTATGTCATTGCTAAGCAAGAAATGCAGTACTAACTTCTACTTCCCGGGTTGCTAGAAGAAGAAGGTCTACACTCATGTTAAGTTTCTAGGAGAACGCCATATTTTGTATTTTTATTGATTTGAGTAACGAATACTCGTAACATCTTGTAGTAAAATTGCTGAAAGAAGGCTGTTGTTATCATGACTGATGCTGGATTCTTTAGAGTAAGTATTCCTCTAAATTTTAATTAATTATTTTATTTGTGTCTTGTGTAATGTAAAGTTCAAGCGCGGAAATTAGAATTTGTGATTGCGTATATTTTTTACTTCAATTCTATTGTCATGATTTGATGCCAATAGTCACATATTTATATGCATGTTTAGTGAATATTTGAAAGTAAAATTGTTTCTTGGATTACTGATTTAGTGAAATTATTTCTTGGATAACGAATTTATTTGCTATTAATATGCCGGCAATTTTATCTTTTCTTTTTCATGAAACCCAAGTTTTAAGTATTTTTCGTTGTACATTAATATTGTATAAAAATGACACGATATTAAATATTTGAATGTAAAATCTATACCATTTTGCGTGTTAAAAGTTTCATTCATCATTATTATTGCATTATGTCATGAAAAAAAATTCAGTGTTGTTATTTAATTAACCTTTAAATGATGTAGTATCTCTCATCTGCTGTATACATTTTTTACAGTTTGTAATCGATGCAGATTATAAATATGCTGAGGCAGAAATTTTCTGATTTCGTAATAACAAAATGCAGTTTGATTTATGTACGTAGACCTAAATTTAGATGGAAGAACATAAATGTTTGTATTTTTATGACTGGTAATTTTCATGAGAGAACTTATAGTGAGGAGCAAATATTTTGAAATAAATGCTAAAGGACTAAGTTTTTATCTAATAATATAATGGTTTTAGGTATACATTATTTCAAAAGCTAAGTTAACTTTAAATTAATCAGGTAATTTTGTTCAATGACTTTACACAAGAACACATTAAATTGACTACTTTTAAGTTATTTTTTGATCATCATGTTTTGTTTAGATGCTTGTATTAATTTGTCAAGAAATCTTTTAAATCTTCATTTCTTGCAGTACTGTGTGTACTGTATGTATTAAACTTTTGGAATTCTTGCAGCCAGTAATTGACATTTATAAGAATAAATTGTGATATTTGCAAAGTTAATGATATAATGCATTCCTTTCTAAATTCTGCTTTTTGAAGAAGCTTTAAAATTAAAGTAAGAGGGAGATGTGTGAGTATCTCCATGTGTATTTGCGTGTATTAAGCATTTGTGAATAGTCTAATTGCTGGCTATCTCAGTGAAAGTGCCATTAATATTTTTGTTTATACCTGTATAAATTGTTGTAATTGAAAGTATTAATTGGGTGCAATTTTCTAAATATATTGGCCAGAAGTAGAAAGTGTCTGAGGTCTGAAACACTTAAAATATTTTTTTCGTATTACAGGCAAACTAATTGATATGAAAACTCTTGTAAAGAACCAGCATCATGTACGTATTTTAAAATTTGAAGGTCTTGAAAATGAATTTCCTTTTTCAGTAAGATAGGTACAAACAAATCTCATATCAGTTTTATAAGTATGCAAGAAGTAAAATTATTATTTCAAAGGTTGAAGCAGTTCAAACATAATTTTGAACTGTTCATTTTAAAAGCTATTTTGGGGTTTTGTTTTTGTTCAAATTTATAATTTTTTTTTCTTTCCTTCATGATTTTTTTAGTAAAAAAAAAAAAAAAAAAAAGAGAAAGAAATAAAAAAGCTAATAATTTTGTTTTGATTTCAGTTTAATAAGTGTGTTTATTTTTAAACCCATTTTGAATAAATACTTTAATCATAAATGTTGAGCATATATATTTTTAGATGTTCATTTTGAGATGAGTATCAAGATTGTTAAATTAATCAAAATTTTTCTTGTTTAATTTCCTTTTTTTCAGGGCACTAGTGCCGATCAAGATAACCGTTTCAGCGATAAGCAGAAAAAGTTGCTTAAACAGCTGAAATTCAATGAAATCCTTAATCGAAAGGTGTGTATGCCAAAGAATAATTTTTTTAAACTATTTTGAAATGCTGGTGTTTAATTCCACACACACACACACACACAAAAAAAAGTGCTATCTTTTAAATGCTGCTATTTTATATTTGTCATCATTCAAAAACAAGAATGAATTGTCATATATAGTTTGCATTTTGCTAATTTTTAAAAATTAACAAAAAATTATTTTACATTGTTTTTAAAACAAATGATGTGTTCAATAGCATATTGGGTGAAAATGTGCTTTAGCCCACTGTTTGGCAATTTTCAGTAGTGGGGATTTCTTGAAAATCGCCAGTAAAATCTCAGAATACGTTGTGTAAACAAAGTTGCTAAGGCGGAGCTAAGTGGCGCCCGTAAATGGGTGGGACTAAAATTGTGACGTCACAATGTATTCTCTATAGATATAGATATAAGTATAATAAATTCTTTATATTTTAAGTTATAATAATGCAGTAAATGAATTGTACCAGTTATTAAAACGGTAAACGATGCCGCAGTCTCTCATATTTTGTATTTCATACAGCTTCAGTATTTTCAAAGATTTTAGAACTTATACAAATAAAAAAAGATTTGGTTAATCTTTGGATTATGGTAACTTGGCAAAAATTTGGCAACTAACCCTGCTACATTAACCCGGGAGAAGTCGCACGGGGCACAGTCACCCCATGCGTCAAAAATCAACAATCCTAACCGGAAATATTTCATTTTAATGAATCATCCTTTTAGTATCCTCCTGTTTGACATTCCTCTTGGAATGTGTATTGTTATTTTTGCTTGTTTTTCTTTTCTGCGAGAGAAGCAATCGTTTCTTGGAATGCATGAGGGAATGGGTTGACTGAGTCACCTCGTGCGAACGTTACTGCTTCGAAATTTTTCATTAGTAGAAGTTTAACTTCGTGCTCTCGAGTGTTGCCGTTGTGGTTCTGTTGGATTATTTGATAGATAAAGGTTTACAAACGTAAATTTATCGAACATGAAAAAGAGATGGAACGTTTGAGAACTGTATTAGATGAAGTTGAGTCTTCTGAAGGAGAAATTCATCAAGATAGTAAAAATGAATCTGATAAAGAAATATACAGTTCTCACAACAGCGAAAGAGAATTTGAGCAGAATGATGAAGACGACGGAAATCCTGATTTAGTAAAAAGTATTTTTATTAGCAAAACTAAGAGTTTGGCAGAATGGAAAATCAAGTGAAAAAGGTCTTCTCAAATTATAATAACTCATTTAGCAGGATTAAAAGAAACTGCACGCAATATAACGGAGCTTCTAGAAAGTTGAGAATTGTTTTTCAATGCTAAAAGGATACAATCCATTGTAGAGTGTACAAATATTTATATTGAAAAAATATTACGACAAATGATGTGGAAATTGAGCACTTTTTGGGCTTTTACATCTGTACGGCTTACATAAATCGTCACATAAAAATACGCAAGATTTGTGGGCTACTGAAAAGTTGGAAACAGGCATTGCAAATTTTACGGAACACAATGATTATAAAAAGATTTAAATTCTTCTCAGGTGTCTACGGTTAGACAATGTGACCAAATCGTGAAGCTCGGAAAAAAATTTGGACAAACTGGCGGCTGCGAGAGAATTTTTTACCGATTTTGAATGAAAATTGCCAAAAGATATACCTCATTGGTAAATATGTTACTATCAAAGAAAAATTAGAGAAATTTCGAAGGGCGGTGTTCCTTTCGTCAATATATACCCAGCAAACCATCGAAGTATGGAATCAAAATATTTGCCTTAGTAGATTTAAGAACTTTCTGCAGCTTATAACATGTGGAGATATACGCAAGGACAACAGTCGGAAGGTCCCTTTAGATTTGAAAAATTCTTCCATTTGAAATTACAAAACGCCTGTGCACCCTTTTGTTTGGGCAGAAATGTAACAATGTATAATTGGTATACGAGTTATCCTCTAGCAAAAGAACTTTTGTCAAAGAAGTTAACTATTGTAGGAACCCTGAACAGAAACAAGGCTGAAATTCCCACCAAGTTCGTCCAAACAAAAACTAGAAACGGTTATTTATCTATATTTGGGTTCTAAAAGAACGCGACGATAGTATCGTATGTGCCTAAAAATCAAAATGTGTAGTTTTGTTATCTACAATGCATTGCGATGATGCCATTGATAAAAGTGATGATACGAAGAAACCAGAAATAATTTGCTTTCATAATGCAACAAAAGGTGGTGTAGATAAAGTTGATGAAATGTTATCGTTATATTCGACATCTCGAAAAACCAACAGATGGCCGATGGTCGTCTTTTACTGTATTGAACGTCACTGCAATAAATACCCGAGTTGCTTTATTCCCAACAAAGACCCCTCCCTTACAATATGGAAATAGTAAAAAATTCCTAAAAATTTGGCTATATTTCTTATACAGTGCCTTACATAGAGATTACAAAAAATATGTCAATGTTTCCTAAAGTGGTTCATGAAAGCATCGATAATGCGACTTCTAGTGTATCAGAAGAACGGCCATCAAAGAAACCAAAATTCGACAAAGGCCGACGTGCTATGTGTCCAAGATCCAAAGACAATAAAACTACAATTTCTTGCAAAATATGTGATAATTTTTCATGTAAAATTCATTCTTCCTATGTTTGTCAGAAGTGTATGTTAGCTTCTGACTCCTGATTAGGTATATATTTATTTTGAATGGATTTTTTTTCTTAAATATTGAAATAAGTTTTTTAAGTAAAGAAGTATAGTTTCTAAATGAAATATTGCAATTATTGTTTATAATCAAATGATTTCTATAAAATATATAACACATTATCCTAATGAAACTGATTGGGGTGACGCTGTCACTCCGCGCGATCTCCAACGTCAGTGTTGGGTGCGAGCTTTCTGCCAGGTTAACCTGCTAGTTTTGTTTTCAAGAAGTAAAGCATGTTTTTTTTTTTTATTCAACATTTTTTCCAATAATCTGCTGGCTGAATTACGCTTGTACTAGAACTTTTATGGAACAAAAATGCTTAATCATGACGAAGATTATGTGCGAAATTGGGAGAAAGTGCAGAATCGCAAACTGCTTGCCGCGTTTTTAAGAATTGCACATACACGGTATCATCCATGTACACGTCGAACTATTTTCACTTAAAAAACATCACAGAATTGCACAAAAATGGCATTGCGCACACTCTTGACTTTATCCATGTACACTACTAAATTCCTAGCTAGTAACTTTTATTGCCTTACCAAAATGTCGCCAAACTACCTGTTACCATATTCCAAAGATTAGCCAAAGATTTTTATTATTAAATTTATTGCGGCAATTATATCAGAATGTTGCAAATTATTGCATGTCTTTTAAATAAAATAGTATATACTCCAATTTATGTTAAATCTATTAATATAAGGGCCTAATAAATTTCAAGACTTACCCCTTTGATGGTTTTTTTGATGCTGGGTTATATTCCTAATAGCTATTAGAAAAATACTAACTTCTTCTTTTGTGAATGATTCAACGTAAAATAAATCATACACATGATTTTGATTTTTTTTTTGGGGGGGTTATATTGACATAATATTATTTACATTTTTAGTTTAAAAGGATAATCATTTAAAGAGCAATATCCGATTACAGCCGACTCAAAAACTACCAAAAATCAAGTTCAAGTTCTTAAAAAAAAGTGCTATTTCTACGGTTTTTATCTGGTTTCTCTCTGTTGCCAATACACTCGAATCAAAAACTATTTCCCTCTTTTTTTTTTTTTTTTTTTTTTCTTTCTTTTACCAGAGTAGTTGCCAACAAATTTAAATTCATATTATCGAACATTTTAATTTATCATTTTTACAAATTACCTTGTTGCTACGTAACGACACAATCCCTTAGGTACTAGTAAGTAGACAATCTTTATTATTTTCTAAAAATTTTAATCTTTACATTAATAAAAAAAAATTAATAAATATTTTTATTGCAGATCAACATCATACACAGCTTTAATATCACTGTTTCTTAATTCTTAAATCACGTCATATTCTATAGTTTTACTAGAATTCTATACATTCTACAAAAAAAAAAAAAAAAAAAAAAAAAAAAAAAATCTAATTTCTCACAATGAAAGAAAATAAACACTACAAATTTGGAACACTAAGCAATGCTTCACACACACATATTATCAAGTGCAATTGCGATAGCAAATACTACGTATTAAAATAAAAAAAAAAGTATTTAATTTTTTTTACTTTATAGGGTCAAATTTTGCTACTATTGAGTAGATCATCAATATTTTTTGGAAAGCATTATCAACATATCAAAACCAAACAATTAAAAATACAATAAAAAAGATGTCTAAAGTATAACTTGCAATTAAAACAACAATGCAAATTTCAAATACACAAACGACACATTAAACATTGCATATAAAATACGTTACATTACAGCTCGGTATAACATACAGCCTCGCTTTGTTCATGTGCACAACGATCTGTATTCGCTCGAAAAACTTCAAAGAATTGCAAAAACTTGGTGTCGATGTACACATCCATCTATTTTCACTAAAAAAAAAAAAAAAAAAAAAATCAGAGAATTGCACGAAACTTGGCATTGCGCATTGCCTTGGCTTTGTCCATGTGCAAGTCTATCTATTTTTACTTAGAAAACATTAGAGAATTGCACAAACTTGGCATTGCGTTATACATTGGCCTTTGCCCATGTACACATCGATCTATTTTCACTTAAAAAAACATCAGAGAATTGCACAAACTCGTCATCGCGCACAACCTCGGCATTGCGCATTGCATTGGCTTTGGCTACGTACACATCGATCTATTTTCACTTAAAAGACATCAGAGAATTGCACAACCTCGGCATTGCGCACTGCATTGGCTTTGCCCATGTGCACATCGATCTATTTTCACTTAAAAACATCCGAGAATTGCACAAACTAGGCATCGCGCACCACATTCGCTTTGCCCATGTGCACATCTATCTATTTTCACTTCAAAAAACATCCCAGAATTGCGCAAA